GACCCTTGGCCCGACCCCAGGTTGGATGCAGCTCACCGCGAAGACAGCTTCTGGTGGCGATACCCCGCTGTGCGCCAGCAGTGATAAGAACCCCTTTCAGATCCAGAGAGAGCATTCGCCTCAACATTCTTCGAGCTGGTATTGAACAGTTATACCCAGGGAAGACATGCTTATTCTGACAAGGTCAGAGGTGAGCTCAGCCTCATCTGGAAGGTCTTGGTCCGTACCCCCCCCCTCGTGCTGGCCCGTCAGAACCCCCCTTGGTCGAGTGGGCCAAGAACAACATCGACGCCGCTGGCTTGGAGAAGAGCGGGATGGCCGCCTGCGCAGGGACCCTCTTCAACAACGCAGATCCTGAATGGTGCTTTTAGCGAGCTGTTCGACATATGGTCAGGTGGTAGGCCCTCTGTCAATTCTCTCTCGTGCTGCAGGATGCTCGCTCCCTCTTCCACCGCGACCCCCACCTCCGCGCGATTAAGTTCAACTACCTTCCTCTCTACTCCCCGACTCCAGCATCGCAGGCACTCAGGAGGCCCATGGAAGTGCGATTGAGGTACACAACTATCTATACCACTCCCACAACAAACATATGGTGTTTGCTCTCTTTGTGGTCGACGAACTGCGGGAGGGGCCCTGACGTTCTTCCACCCTTGCCCGCCTGACAGAGGCCGGGGGCCAAACAGCTTTGAAAGTTCAGAGTTCGTGGCGGGCCGAGTTTTACGCGTTCGGTTGAACCGAGGGGGTAGTGGCGCATGTGCTACCCACTACAACATACACAACTTTGGGCTATCAGCTTCACAATCACGGCGGGTGAGTTTGGCGATCCGACGGGACCTGGGGGACTCTCGGGAAGCACCGCAACTCCGTGTTGTTCTGGTTGCAGGTGACTTGAAAATTTCGTCCTCTCCGCCCAAACAGCTGGCGCCCGAGGAAGTGCAGAATCTTGGTGCTGGCCGCGCGGATTGGCGTGCTACGCAGGACAGACAGTGGACCTCTTCTCTTCTCCTCCCTCACCAAGATCACGATCGAAGACCCGGCCCGCTTCTCTGTCGCCAATTCCTCCGCCTCTGTGCTGGACAGGCTCTTCGTTTCGCTGCCGGGGTGGGTCGCCACGCAAACGCATGCGACGGGATGCGCAAATCGGCAGGTGGAAATGTTGAACCACTGGGATATTTCCGACCATGTCGGCGCGGCCGTGGGCACTCGACCTTCTCCCCCGCTTGATCCCGAGACTCAACTCATCCCGAAAGCGATCTTCAGCTTCCCGATGTTCAAGAAATATGTCTAGGACAATTAGATGCGGTTGACCTCTCCCAACTGAGCCCCCCTGCCGACTCCAGCTTTACAAAGCCCTTCTTCGGGGCGCGCTTCGGTTAACCAGACAGACCAGTCTAACGAAGGAGCCCGCCGCCCGCCTGGCCCAGATTTTGGTGCTGCGTTCTGTTGCCCGCGCGGTCTGGCGTAGAGATGTCCGCTTAGGTAGTATCTTCGTGCAGGCGCACGCTCTCGCAGCCGAGCATCTGCTGGTTGACGTAGCGACCCGCGACGGTCCTCTCCGACGCCCCGCCGAATTGCCCGACCTTTTGGACCGACTGCAGTCGGGGGGCCTGGGGGCCGGACGGACCGAGCAACAGCGGGCCCTGCGGGCCTCGGACTGCGTGCCAATTGCAAGAATAACATCAGACAACGTGAAATTCGCTGCAGGATTGTGACCCCGTTTGACCGACGGCGGACTCTGAAGGCGATCGAAGTCAACGGTGAAATCTACGTGGGCCCTCGACGTATGTAAACCGAAATTTCCAGATTGTGGTGACGTTTTCGCCCCGAAAGGTATTGATCGCTCTGCCGCTCGCCGATGCATCGATCGATCCGCCCCCCCGGCGCGACCTCTCCGACCTCCCGCCTCCGACCTGCCGCCATGTCGGAAATTACACTCGGCGACGACATCGCTCGGCCCCACGGCCCGACAGGCTCCCGCATGATGCGTGGCAGCACGCCCCAGGCGCGGTGGACGTTGAGGACCTCAGATTCTTGGGATTGAAAATTACGAACAAGATCTTGGTGGGAGCGTGCATGGCTTTGTTCGCACGACGCGGGGCGCCACTTGCTTGTCCTGTGCAGCGCCGTGGCCCCCTCTGCTACTACTGACATTATTGCCCTTATCTCCTTCGACTTCTCCCAAGCCTTCCCTTCGCTTACCCGTGATTGGACGATGGTGGCCCTGGGTGCCCTCCGACTCCCGCCCCCGCCCTGCCTCTTCACTGCCTGCATTTGCTCCAACGTGATCTGCCGGGCGATGTTTGGCGACGCCCTGGTTTTTTCCCGTTCAATATTCGGTCTGGAATCATCCAGGGGTGCCCAGGGGGTGGTTTGCATCACGCGGTTACGACGGACTGTTTTCTCGTGGACCTACAACGACGCATCGACGCCAAAAATCGAGGATGGGGCCAGGGCATGCGCCGACGTTTTAGGCGCTGCCATCAGGCGCCCCCAATACGTGGAGAAGCTCCACCGCGTCATTTATGATGCCGCCCCCCTCGCTGGCCTCATTTTGAAGAGTTCGGGATCGCCGGAAACTTGCTGTACCTGGGGATGTGGTCGGACCCGAATGCTGAGAAGAAGTGTTGGAGGACCTACGACGAAATGGAGGGGGGGGCTTTCTCTGGCCGTCGCCGACGCGCCTGCCTCGATCACGCAGAATAATGCACATGCTCGTCGCGTTGTGCCTGTGCCCGGGTATGTTGGCCAGTTCCTTCCGCATCCACCCAACCTTCCCCGACGCGAAGACGCAATGCTCGCTCGCCTCTTTCGCTTCCCCCACTGGGCTCACATGCGCGGCGCTCGACGGAGTCGCAGGGCGGCCCGGAGGCCCCCTCGCTCGCGGCGCTCTTGCTCGCGACCCGCGCTAGAGCTGCAGGCGCAACCTTTTCGTCGCGGCGCCAAGCTTTGGATGCGCTCGAGATGGTTGCAATCAACGGGAAGGGGTTTGCTGGCTACGGCCTTGGCACACGAAATTCTGATTGGCGGGGGTCTCCGGCGATTTGCCAGCGCATGGCTGAGGCGGCCGAAGGGTTCCCAAAGCACCCCGGGAACGACACACGGAAGGACCTCCTTCAACGTAGCTCGAAATATGATGCAAGATGCCGTGGGCCAGAGGAGTAAATTCAAGCTCCAGGGATGCCTGACGAGCTCATTTTCCAGTTTTCTGTTTCCTGGGGACTGGTCCGAGTTGGTGGCCCGTCGCCTCCTTTCGCTTTGTCCCGTGGTGGCGGTGGAGATCCAAGGCCTACAGCGGCCGCGGATCCAACGATTCGGAAGTTACAACCATGTCACTCGTTAGTTGTGCTCCGTACTCTTAGTAACAACTGTTGCACTGACACCAGATTCCAACAGTCTTTTGTTTCCCAGTGTGCGCTTGGCTGCCCAGGGGCCCCTGATAGTCTAAGCCACTCTCTCTCGTGTCCCCGCATGTCCCTCCTCCTTCGCTCCCTCGTCGACTTCGATATATTGCCTCGCCCCTCGCCTTCCTCGGCCTCGTTCGTCCATCTGTCTCCTAGTTTCGCATTCAGATAGCTGCCCACTTGCTTCGCGCGGAAGCAAAAGCGATGGCGCGGCAACGTAGGGCCCCTCTCGGTGGTGATGAGGCCAGCGCGCTCCTTCCCGCCGTTCGCTTGTCTTTGATACGGTAGAGTGGTGGATATGAGGTTTTCTTGGGCACGCTCGAGGAGGAGGAGGAAGGAGGAGGAGGAACTGTCTAAGCTTCATGCGTATCTATTGGAAATCACACTGAGCTATGCACGAGGAGGGGGAAGAGTTGAAGGAGGATGAGGAGGACGAGGAGGAGGAGGACGGCCGCCACATGTGTCACCGTTCGTCTTCACTTTTGGTGGAGCTCTCATGGAGCTCATTCGGGCCGTCTTTAGGCTGCCGCAGGCTCCTGAAGGGCAGTCTCGGGGGTCCCATGGGTTACGTGGGGCCATCGTTGGGTCCTCTTGGGCCGCGTTGGGCTCGCTTGGGCCATCTGTGGACCGACATGGCCTTATCAGGGGTTATTGCAGTTGTGCGGCCGTTTCGGGGCCATCTTAGTCGATCGAGGAGCGTCTCGGGGCCATCAGGCAGCGTCGGTTCCTTCTAATGCCCTCTCGGGCCAGTTTGGGACTCTCTTTGGATGGTCCTTGGCCGTGTAAGACGTTTTTTGGGCTGCTTCGAGGCCGTCTCGACGGATTATTCGTTCGGGCCGTCTTGGAGCCGCGCTGGAGGTCTCCAGGCCCGCGTGGCGCTGACGGATGCCCGAGAAAAACGCAAAAAACGCCAACATATTTTCAGAACCCATCGGGTACCCATGATTCGGGAAGTGTTGGGGGTCCTCCTGTGATGATATTATTGGGCCGCTTTGGGGGCCATCTTGGGGCCGCGCTGGGGTCATATCGGGCCGTTTTGGGGCCACGTTGTGGCGTAGTGGAGGCATCTTGCGGCATTTCGCTGGCCGTTGTTGTTTGCTCCGGTCGTCTTGGGAGTTCGGGAGTGCGGAGCCGCTCCTTTTGACATGTGGTCGTAGCCTCGTGAGCGCGGGTCCATCAATGTGCGCGATGGGTAACGGCCCTGGGAGCACGGACCCAACGTTGCGAGGGGGCGTGGCCCGGGGAACGCGGATCCATGTTATCTTGCAGCGAAGGGTGGTACAGAGGTGGGTCCTTCAGAAGACTGGTGCATGTAAACTCTAACAGGCCGCAATCCCTTCGGCACGCCCAGTTCGGAACGAAAGCCGCACCGCCGAAACCCATGTGTGGCCATTCCCCAGGGACTAGGCGACCACATGCGAACCCCACCCTCTCCTCAGAAATCGTGGGGGGGGGTGGGGTATAGGGTTCGCATGTGGCCCCCATGGTGGACGACGAGGGACGGTTCGTCCACACTCGCTCTGTCCCTGCCCCCTTGCTTGTCGAGCTGGTGCGCCCTTTGGCGCCCCACGGCCCACGGCGCGCCGACCCCCCCCCGAGGCTCCTCTCGGAGAGGGCGTCCGCGGCGTGCGTCCTGCAGCAGTGGCACCTGGCGGCCGCGCGGGACCTCGCGCGCGGCGGCTCTTCTCGGCGGGCGGCTTCGCAGTCGGTGGCGGTGGGTCGGTTCGTTTCCAGCGGTTGTTGCGTCGTTGGTGTCGTTGGTGCGTCGTTGAGCTCTGTTGGGCTGCGTGTCGGTGTCGGTTTCGCTGTCGCTTCGGCCGGGTTTAGTTGGCTTTGTTTGGCGCTGTGGAAGGTGTCGTGCCTCGTTGCGTCTGTCCTTGCGTTCAGTCGGCCCCGTCTGTCGTCCAGGACGCCTCACGGCGTGTCGCGGCCCTTCACGTGGCCTCACACCCTTGAGGGGATTCCCGCAGCGGGACTCGCGGGTCGTGTCGGAGCGATGTGCAGTCCGCCGCGTCTCAAGGGCCCCCCCCCAGGAGGGCCCGCTGACGTCCAGAAGGAATGCTTCCAGGGGCTCCAAGGGCCTGCAGTCGAGGGGGCGGTGGAACCCCCTCACTCATAACTGGCGTTTGCTGGACAACCCTGCGCGTTTGTTTGACAGCCGTGTCGTTATCGATTCCGTCTCCAGGCGCCTTTGATGTATCGCCTCGCGTGTAGGGGTGCTCACTAGGAGGGTGTTTCCCTGTCAGCCCTCTGTGCAGGAAGCCTCGAGGAGCCTGTTGTTGCAGGCCTCCAGCGTCGTTTGTCGTTGTTTGCGAGTGCGGGCCCCGGAGCTTCCGACCCCACCCACAGGGCTGGTGTTTCGCCGCGGCTCGTCTCAAGCTGCGGGCCCTGCGGAAGGGGCCTGGAGGCCGAAGCGGTTGTCTCTTGGTGCCTTGAGTAGCCCGAGGGGATGCTCGGCGGCGCGCAACTCGATCATTGCGTTGCCCCGTTTGTTGCGAGCGCCGCTCATCCAACCCTAGGCGCAGGAGGAGCAGGATAACGGAGGATTATGGGGTAGATTTTGACTTCGCCCTCGATATTCAGCCATGCCGAGTCGTACCGAAGACGAGGTTTTCTTTCCACCTTGCGGTGAATCCAGTATGGGTCCCTCCACCTCCTTCCCCCTCTTCTGGACCAAGGGGATTCGGTTGAGTAGCCCTGAGCCCTGTGACGACGGCGCCGGCGAAGCCGCCGACAGCGGCAGCGGCGGCCACGGGCCCTCCCAAGGAGAGATCGGACCGGCAGGGCCTCGAGGAGGCCCAGCGGGCGGGCGAGCGCGCGGCGTTGCTGCGGCACTGGGCGGCGTGGCGCCACCAGGCGCGGCGCGGATACTGTGGGGAGGAAGGCGGTTGCCCAGTCTTCGGGCGGGCTGGAGGCGTTTGTTTCTTTAGACTCCCTGGCGGTTGCCCAATCCTCGGGCGGCTGGAGGCAATGCGGGTGTTGCCAGGAGTTCCCTTGGCCCAAGGTGCCCGCAGGATTTCCAAGGCGGCCTCCACAGCCCCCAGAGCACCCAGGCCCAGGGGGCCCCAGGGGCCCGAAATCAGAGCGAAAAGCTGGGGGGGCCTTGGCCCAGGGGCAGCTTTGGCGACCCCCGGAGGTGAACTTGCATGGAGGGGCGGGGGCGCGTGGCGAGGCCAGAAAGGACATCTGGACTTCACGCTTGTCAGGCGGGACTCACTTTGCACGCCTTCTCGGCGCAGTGCTGTTTTTTTAAAAGGCGGCAGGAGGGGGGATTGGGGGGGGGAATGCGATGCAAGTGCACTTGCTGGAGTCAAACAACGAAAGTGGAGACCCATGCAAAGAAACACCTTGGTTGCCTCCAGGGTGCCCTGGGTTTCTTGGGTTTCGATGGTTTTGTGATGGAACGCGTGACGTTCCCAACAAACATCCGTGGACGTTCTGGGGTCTCATGGTTTCTTCTTGTGGAAGGTTTCTTGTGCTTGGGCCTCCACTGTAGAATGATGGGCCCGTTTTCCACCACCACCACCACCACCATAAGCGGGACAGCGACGCCGGGCAGCACGACGCCGACAAGGCGGGCAGCGAAAACGGTGGAGTGACGATACCACAGAATTTCTACAGAAGGCTTCGGTTGGAAGCACACCCGGCACATGGCTACAGAGTGCTACAACTTCCAGATTCTGGGCAGATCTCGAAGGCGACTTTTTGAAGTTCACGTGCCTGTGGCTTGGCTCTGGCCCGCCCGCGCCGCCCCTAAGGGGTCTGCCGGCCCGCCGGCCAGAGGACTCGCGCGTCTGCGTCTGCATCTGCGTCACCACCAGAAATTGGAGGGGGGACGGAGGAGGAGGAGGACGAAGAGGAGGTGGAGGAGGTGGAGGAGGAGGAGGAGGAGGAGGAGGAGGAGGAGGAGGAGGAGACGGAGGAGGACCCCCTCCCCCTCCAACTTGTGGTGGTGGTGGTGGTGGTGGTGGTGGTGGTGGTGGTGGTGGTGGTGGTGGTGGTGGTGGTGGAACGAAGGCCCATCATACAAAGGCCCTCCTGTGCTTTGCAGATCCCTGCGTGCCTCCGACTTCTCTGCCCTTCGCGGGGAGAGGCGTGCGCCCCTGCTCCTGGCGGATCGTGCTCTCCAGTTCCCCTGCGGGCTTCCCCGTCTCGGCCCTTCGCGGGGCCGCGTCCGGGCCTCGGGGCCGTGTTCCCAACATCGGGTGTTGCTGGAAGTGCCCTTGGGCCAAGGTGCCCCCAGGATTCTCGGGGTAGACCACGCGGCTTCCAAAGCACCCCTCACGAGGCCCAGAGGGTTCCAGGGGCTCCAGAATGGAGCGAAAGCTGGGGGCACCTTGGGCCAGGGGTACTTCCAGCAACACCCGGCAAAAGCGGAAGACGGCTCTCAGCGGATGTCTTCGCACGGCAGGTTCGCGCCGCTTCGGCGCGGCGTTGATGTTTCGAGGGGCGGATGTTGTCACAGTCGTTCGCGATTGCCGCCAGAGCCTCTCCGAAACCCCAAGAGCGCCCAGATGCGTGCTCCCGAGAGTTCCCCAGAAAACCTTTGGGAGCTTGAGTATCGTTTTACCGATCCCCATCCCCAGCGGCGTTGCCTGGGCCCCACTTGCCGATTTACCCCCGTAGACGGGGATACAGGCCGTCCCCTTCGGTTTTCGAAGGGTGTACCCCCAACTGGGGTGGTGATTTGGTGGGGGGTTCGAAGGGGATGGGGATGGGGATGGGGATCGGTCAAACGATAGTGAGGTCCCCTCCCTTCTGTCGGAACCACGTCAAAACATGGGTTGGGAGACCCCTCCTGGAAAACCCCTTCCCCAAAAACCCCCTTTGGAACCCTCCGGCCCCCCTTCGGGGGGGCAGGGAGGCTGCCTGGCTGCTGTGGCAGCTGTCCGCGGGCGAGGTGCCCCCTTCAGTCCGAAGCGCGGCAGCGAGCCCGCGGCCTGGGCAGCCCTCGACGACGACCGCGGTGACCTCGACGACCACGACGACGACCACGACGACCACCATCGCGACGAACACAACCACGACGCCTATTGCGACGACCACCGTGACGACCGCGGCCACGATTCGCACGACGGTGACGGTCACGACATCGGTGACCACCACGACACGACCACGACGGCCATCACTGCCAGAGCACAACGAGCGAAGCGAAGATGACGACGACGACGACGACGACGACGACGACGACGACGACGACGACGACGACGGCGACGGCGACGGCGACAGCGGCGACGACGACGACGAGGTCGTCGAGGGCGTCGAGGTCGTCACCGTCGCCGTCGCTCCTCCGCCCGCCGCAGGCCGCGGACGAGCGCACGCAGCGGTCGCACTCCGAGCTCGCGGAGGGCCAGCGCTCGCGGAGGGCCACGCTGTCGGCGTTTCTCTGCTGGCGCCGCGCATGGCACGGCGCCAGCGTCGAGAGGCGCCGCGGGTCGCCGCTCCCGCGAGCCGGCCGTCGTCTGGGACACTTTGGAGAGAGGGGGAGCGGCAGGCTCAGGGGGGGGCGAAGTTTCGAGGCGCGGCGCTCGAGGTGTTCGGGCGCTTCCGCCGGCTCTCGACTGTCTTCCAGCCTGGGGGTGTCCTCCAGCGGCTGCGCCTCGCCGAGAGCGTTCCAGGCGTGCCCCGGTTCTACCGACCGGCCGCCGGGGAGGCCCCAGGTATGGCCCGAAAACCGCCACTGGGGCACGGGTGGGCTGCACGGGCGCGGCACGGCGGCGGGCGCAGCGGGGCGGCTTGGGGGGCTGAGCGCCGTTCGCCTCCACAGGGGAGTGGTGCGCAGCCAGGCCAGAAGAACGAGCGAGGGAGGCGGGCGGGTGGAGGTGGGCTGGAGCAGGGATGAGGAGTGGAGGAAGGAGGAGCTCGCTCTCGCTCTCACCAGGCTGAAATCTCGAGGCGTATGCGTGGACTTGCCGGGGAATAGCGACCTTATGCGATCACACCTTCCACTTCGCAGCTCCGTGCACTCGCTAGGCTGGCAGATGGCCGTACAACATGGAGGTCGTTGCACGGGAGCCTGGCCGACCGCTGCGTTGGGACAACCAAAGTGGGCGAGAGATCGGGAGGAGAGTGGGGAGCCTTTACTGACCCAGGCCCTCACTAGCTTCGCCGCGACAGTCAGTATTCAAGCGTGAGTCTCCTGGCCAGGGGACGCCTGGGATACGGTGTCCAGCAATGGGCGACGATGAGCGGAGCAGGCAAACCGCTTCTATCACTGAGAGACAATCACATATGCGTAGGCAGCCTCGTAAGTGTACGTGCCTGTTGTTCCCCAGTTCAGATGCAGAATATACAATCTCGAAGTGTGTCGTGCTGGTCGGTCTACCTCCGCTTCGACATCAGCTTGCGGGCGGGTTTGCCGCGAGGTGCTTTGCTCGTGGTTATCTTGCTTCCCCCGTGCCTGACCTGCTCCCCAGCCACGGCCTCGACCTCGAATGGGGCACACGTGATCTGCACCAGCGCCGTCGAGAGTTCCAGTGGACTCGAGTCGTGTGTGGGCCCTGCGGGCGCGCCTCGTGGCCGGGCCGGGGCCCGCGGATTGAGGCCAGTGCATGTGCATGGTGCGGCGGCGCGTCGGGCCGCCGCGTTTCCCCCTCCTCCCCTTCCTCCCCCCCTCGCCGCAGGGCTTTCTTGCTGGTAAAAGTGTATATGGGGTAAGCTTCCTGCTGCGTCGTCTGACGCCAGTACCCGTCCTAGGATCTTGAATATGGTTTTGCTCTCCTGTGGCTCCCCTGTGGTGTTTGCGGTCTACTCTGGCAGTGCTCATCGATTCGTGCTCGAGGAGGTGGGGTCGAGCTTTGAGTTGCACGATCAACGCTCGCATGGTGGAGAGCATCTGCATGTCTGGTTTCCCGTCCTTCTCCATGCTGCCTGCGTCTCTGACTCTGGCCGCCTGAGCTTTGGAGCCCGGACCGACCGCGACGCTCAGGGACCGATCTCTGACCAGCCGATTCGTGCCCTTCGTCTTGTCGTCGCCCATGTTTAGGCCCAATGAGCTTGGGAGTCCAGCCCTCGGCGTAAATCTTGTACAGGGCGGTCTACGGTCTAAGTGCAATCAGTAAAGACGCCGCAGGGATTCCAAACGACAACGCCCCAGGGCTTACGACAGTGTTAAGTCGGCTTCGATAGCATAACGAAATATAGCATATGCCAAACAAGAATATACAGTCCATCAACTGTAAGCGTACGAAGGCATATTCAGCAATTGTGTTCGTGAGCGCTTAGGAACAACGCTAGAATTTACGCAAAGCGTAGATTGCCCATTTTCTCTTGTCGGCCGTTTTGACCAGAGGAGGGAGGAGGCGAAAGAAGAGGACGAGAGGGAGGAAGAGGACGGTGAGGCAAACGACAAACGAGACTGAATACGATTCCTGGGATGTCTTGAGCATTCGCTGTTGTGGGCATGGGGGCGTTACTTTTTGACTGAACGTCCCCACGCGGTGTTCTGTCCTGAAGCCGTCTGAAGGAATTTAGCCACAATTGGGGCCTTGTTGGGGATTTTCACTGCGCCTTCTTTCTTACTAATTCTGTCTTGCCCACTACTCTGCCTTACCATACTGCTGCCCCTGCTCCCCCTGCCCCATCATCCCCTGCCCTCTCGTGCTGCTCTTCTCTTCCTCCTCCGTGTGTAGCCGTTTGGGCTGGCCTCCGAGATTTGGCATATGATATCCCCCGATGGTTCCATGCCAAATGCTCGCATCGGTATAGATCACGTTATGCATGCTTGGGTTTCTCATTGCTGGTGCTGGAGAAGAGGGCCCAGCACAGCCACCAGAGCCCGCATCACCAGTTGCGCCAGCAGCAACAGCTCTACCAACACCAATACCAGCCGCGCCACCACCAGCCCCACCATGAGTTCCGTTCGGCCGCCAAGCTCGCCTCTCATGAAGTAAACAACGGATGAAGTCCAGACGTCTTGCGGGGCAGCGGGCCGTAGCAGCTTCAGTTGCAAACCCAAGGTCGGCGAACCAAGTGTCGAGCGAGGTGTTCGGTTGCGGGCACCATGGGCGAGGGCGAGTTCTTAAGGAATCGCGGATGACGATCAACACCAACACCACGATGTACATGGACAAGACCCGACAGCAAAACCGATTGAACGCCAGAGGAATGGTTTCGCACATAGCTGCAACATCAGACGAATTGAGCCAGCACCTCGCCAACGCAGTGTCCATGATTGCCAATGGTGTGACGGACGAGGTGCCAATGTGGGTTCGCGAACCGATGACTGCCAAGGACATTGATACCCGCGCGGCTTCCGACAGGAGGAACGGACGCATTGGCAGGAAAAAGGGCAAAGCCGTCGGGAGAAGCATTGCCATGTCATGCTTGAACTCGTTGGAGTATGCGTTTGTCAAGACGGCACCAGACTGAACGCGGGCGTGGCGGTGTGCTCACATACACATCCCGGCCCAGGCACTTCCTCAAACTAATTGGGCAATGCTACGAAGTCGAAAACGGAAGTGGGGCACTTGCACTGGCGGCATCATCGGCGCCATGTTGTGCAATGGTGGCGCGGGCGAATCCCAGGCGCTACTGGGCAGAGCGAAGACCATCGCGTAAGCGTGCACAAACGACGCTGCCAAAACGAACGATTGCTTGACGTGCTGCGAACAGAAGGAGCTTGCCGATCAGAGGGGCGGCGCAATGTTTCGATCCCTCTTGGGCGCGCATTGCCAAGGACATCAGACATGTTCGCTGACGAGTAGCGTCGATGAACGACAAGGTGATCCACCTAGCGCTCTCGCGCGTTCGGGGCGCATCCTGGAAGACGCGACTCACGTGCACGAGCTGTTCGTGTCAGTGGGCGTTGTGATTGGCGACGTCTCTGAGTATCGGGGGGCGCTCAGGCTTCCCGACAGACGAGCGCACTACTTGGCAAGCAGATTCCTCCTGGATTTTCACGGCTCCTCAGGCGTGCGTCGATTCTTCCGAGGTCGAATGCGACGCGGTGGTCGATCACGACAATGGGTTGTGGACATACACTAAACGCATTCATTGCTGCCTCGTCGGCAACTGCCTTAGTTGATGCAGCATTGGAGACCGCGGCGAGCAAATGGCAGAAAGACGTGGCCCGAACTTGCTTTGGAACTGGGTGTCCAGTGGCATTCTCGTGCAGGTGGAAGCGCATGGGCGCAGCTCTCGCCTATCCTCCCCGCGCGTGTGCGTGCGCGTGCGTGCGTGTGCATGTGCGTGTGCGTGTGTGTGTGTGTGTGTGTGTGTGTGTGTGTGTGTGTGCGTGTGTGTGTGTGTGTGTGTGTGTGTGTGGTGGGGGGGGGGGGGGGGGGGGGGTCAGCGCGAAGCGCTGCCGCGGGCGCTCAGGAAGACGCGGCGCAAAAGGGGATTGACGACGCGAATGTTGCGGTGCGGGGGGCCAGGGGCATCGACGGGCTGAGCTTGCAGACAAGGCCACTGTGGAGGCGGGCGGGGCACTGCTCAGCTTTGGCCAGGGCGCTGGCGGCAAACCGTTTTTTTTTCTTTTTTTTTTATATATATAAAAAATAATATATATATATATATATATATATATAGATATACTGACAGATTTTAACGCAGCCTCTTCGACGTAACCTGAACCATGTCACGACGGCAGCCAAGCAAGCTCAACGCGCGTCCAACGTCGCGGCCACGGACCCAGTTGGGAACGACGCTCTAGACGTGTTCAAGTGCAGTTGCGAATTGAACTACAAGTTTGTCTCTGGCTCTGGTGGGCGCTCGGTTGCCCCTGGGTGCGCTAGCGTGACCGCGAACCTTGGCAGCGAGCAGCGGCAACGGTGGATAATGCCTGAAGCCGACAGGGCGCTGCGAGTGTTGCTTTATCACTGGCACCTAGTGCACGGCGGCGCCTGGTTTTTCACTTCGACGACCCCGGGTTTCGCATCGTCGACCTCCGCGCGAACGACGGCGGCCGCGCTTTCAGCTACTCCGCCGATTCTGCGCAGAATTCCCTGAGGGTTCTGAAGGACAGTAGGGCATGCAGGGCCTGCTTCGACGACTCGTTCGCCCCGGAGATGGCGAGTTTCTTCGACTCTAACCTTATGGGCGCCCATTCTCACCTGGCGGGTGCGCTAGCTCACCTTCGCACGTGCAGCGCGAGCGTTGAACGACGACATCTTCGCGGACTGTCTTTGAAGCCAAGTAAGTCACGAGGCCTTGCAGTAAACGCTTCGAACCTTGCTGTGACCACGTATGTTCACGGCGCGGTGCAGGTAGCTCGTTTGACCACTGCGGCGGTGCACAAGAAGGTGTTGGAGCGCTACGGCGTGGGCATGACCCAGTACCACGCGTTGCCCTGGAAGTTTCGCTTAGGTGGTTCGCGCCAGCCGTCGAGCGATGTGAAGCGCGTTGGGGCTGCGACCCTGGAAAGCATCCTGAAGCATAGCAAGGTCACGGCTGCTTACCAGCGATTTCGATCGGAGAAGTGTTTGCGCAATCTCCCCGTCGGCAGTCCAGAGTTTCAGTTAGAGGGCCGCATCAAGGGCTGGTGGGCTGCGGCGCCAGATGAAGACGCAACGCTTTATGGAGGGCACGCGGCCGCGATGCCAGATACCGTTGCGGACGTGCTAGACGACCTTACCACCGAGAAGATCGAGGCTGCTCGTCCGCAGATGGGCGATCACAGGTGCAAGCTCTGAATGCAGAGGCTGTCTGTCAAAGCCTTTCCAGAGAGCGAATCGCATCCAGCGTCGGATTGCGGACTTGGGATTGCGGACTTGGGATTGCGACCCTCCAAGGTTGGCGCGGGCATTGCGGATGCGACTTGCAAGGGGGGGGGGGGGGGGGTCAACTCCCACTTCAGTTGCCAACCCGCCATGGACAGCATTCCCTCGTGGTAACGCCATTCCAGGATCGGGTTGGTCAGCGCGCTGGACCGCTGGCTGCCTGCAGCATCACGCGGGGTTGGGAACGTTTACAAACTTCTGAAGCGATGGCACATCTCGCGACCAATGCTTCCCGCGACTATACCGGTCAGCTTGAACGGCGTGGCCAACCACTACGTTCTCGCAGGCGCATTCGGCAAAGGTGGCACGATGTTCTTTCTTCGTTTGGGGCGCGTGGAAGGACTTGTTGACGCATTCAAGCCGATGGCAGTGGTCGAACGTGGCTTCGCGCAGGTCGCATCCATGACTGGGCAGATGGCGATTCGGTCGTGCCGGATGCGATGCGGCTTGGGCCTTGCTGCGGTCGTTGCAGGGATGCCGATTAAGTTCAACATCTACAACGCCGAGAAGTTCGACCACCGCAGAGGGCTTGCTATTCTGACCGTCGGCACGGCGCAGGAGGAGGATGCCCCCCTGAATGCCAAGCCCGGCGGCGATGCGAGGGCGGTGAAGCCGAAGGATGGCGAGCTCGCGCTGCCGTTCGGACTCAGGGCCGAAAGGGGGGGGGGCTCCACGTGCGACGCCCCCGCGGACGTCGTCGGCGACGACGTTGCCAAGCTTGCCATGGTTGCCGAGGCCAAGACGGACAAGGGCGGCGCGCCTGCAGTTGCTGATCCAGTCGCCGAGGAGGAACGGAGGGAGAGAGGCAACCTCGGGCTGCCTACATGCTCTCATGTCCTCTTCTTCTCCGCGTGCCATCCCCTTCTAGCCTGCCCTACCTTCCACGGCTCCCCCTGCTGTCATCTACGCCTCTTACCTTCCTTAGTCCCACCTCCTGGCACCCCCCGCTGCCCCTCCTGCGCGCCCCGCCGCTGCCTCTGCCCCCCCCCCCCCCCCCCCTGCCCGGCAAGGCGACCGCGTCGACAACGGGGGCGAGAGCGACTTGGACTTCGAGGGGCCCCCCGATGCCGACCAGGTCAAGAGGGCTTCGGATACAAACTACGATATCATTCCCTCGGGCACCCGCTGAGGAATCATCGCGTCCAGGTTGGCAGTCTCCAGCAGGGCTAAATGCTTTGCGCTCGGCCAGAGAGGCCCCCCCCCCCCCCCTGCGATTTCGAAGGTCCAGGAAGGCGGCTTCAAGTTATGGTTTCGAGAGAAAGCAACAATGCTAGAGAAGGCGTCACACCGCTCTTGCGTGAGCATTCGGAACGTTCTGCCTCATTGCAGTGCCAGTCGCATCAGGATGATCGGATTCTTTATGCAAGGCTCTGACAGAGCCTGGAGTTAGATGATTAGCAAGTGATCCTAGCTGATTGCTACGACCGCTTGTCCACAGCTGGGGGCGCGCCCTCTCCTTCGTCAACTGGCTGGCCCGGCGACTGCGTCTGAGAAAGGCATCGCGAATATTGTTCCCAGGAGGCCTTTTGGATCCCCATGTTTGGGCTTCGTCTGGGGCCTCGTCCGGGGACCTCGCCCAGGTGTTCAGCCCCCCCCCCCCCCCCCAGGGGGGCGGGGCATGGCATTGGCAGGGGGGCGGGGCATGGCATTGCCTGGTGTTTTGTCTGTTGCGCAGTCTCAGCCGAAGTTGGCATCATCTTGGTCTTAGTTGTTCTGAAGTTGCTTCAAGCTGGTCATAAGTTGATCTCAGGTCGTTCTTTGAGGAATGCATCAGGGACTTCGGCCGTGTCGAAGTTGGTCGTTGGTCTTAGTTGGTCTTAAGTTTGTCTTAGGTCGGTCTTAGCCTGGTCTCAAACTGACAGCGCGTCTTGCACAGTCTCGGCCAATCCTGGACTCGGGGCTGCGCCCCGATCGCCGCGGCTGGGGGGGGGGGGGGGGGGGGGGGGTGCTTCTGCCCTTGAGGTGTTCGAGGGCCGCGGAGGGGCCGAGGCTCTGGCACGGGGGTCTGGGGCGGGCGACGGCGGGTCGAGGCCGGGGCCCCCTGGGGCCCGCGCGTCTCCAGAGCTTGCGATTTGGAGTCCAAGCGCTCCAGCGGGATAGAGGAACGGGGGCCGACGAAGGGGGGGGGGGGGGGGGCACCGCCTCAGGAAAGGGCGTGGGATGAGGGGGGGCAAGTGAGGGGCGAGGAGGAGGTGGCAGGGTGGGGGAGAAGAGGCCGGGGTAGGGGTTTCCCGCGGTCTCAGTGCTTTTACGTAGGGGTCGCGTCCTCCCCCGCCCCCCCCGCCTGCCCCCCGCCCTTCCCCATCGCCCCTTTTGGGCCCGCCGCCCATTGCCATCTCCAGGGTCAGTTCAGTTCTTCCGTTTGCTGCAGTGTCTCGCGCCTCCGCTGCGCCGCCCCCAGCGCCGCGGGGAAACGCGCGGCTGCCGCCGGCAAGCCGCCACCCCCTAAGACGAGAGTCACATGTCAAAGGTTTTCGACTACGCCAGCTGACGAGGAGCGCCACGTCGAGGGCGACGTCGATTCGACGTGCTTGGAGCGCGACCAGCAGCGCGGGGGCATCGACAGGGGCCCCCCCCAAAACGGGTTCGCGATCACATAGGGGAGGGCAATGGGCAGGAGGGCGGCGCGTGGACGCCGTCTTGTAGAGCGCGCGACGCCTGCAGGTTCTCGCGAAGGAAGTTTTTCAAGTATAAGACAGGCAACCCCATGCCCCAGAGGGGCGCCGTGGGCAAATTGCAGACTGATGAGAAGTTCAGGGAGACGCTCCGAGGCCAGCGGCGGTCGCGCGCGCGCGGCGACGCCAAGCGCAGCAGGCTCGAGGATGGCAATCAGAGCACCGAGGTAGCGCGCGCTCCCAAGGCTTCAAGGATGATTTCGTCGAGGGTTTCTTTTATAAGCCTACGGGGCACGTTCGCCCCCTCGACCCTGAGCAGGCTTTCCGCGGCCGAAATGACGCGCAGCTGATGCCTTGGCTTCGCGAGAACTACTCAGATGTTGAAGTCGTCCAGGACAGGCGCGGCGCCCTCGGAGTGAAAGAACAGAACTTGCCGCAGGGGGCATGGCACAAGCACAGAGAGGGAGCATCGGAGGCGACGCCATTCAATTTGGTGCCCAAGTTCGAGGATGGAGCGAATGACATCGCTGCGAGTGGCCGCGGGAATCAGGCGAGCGGGGCGCCATCGAGCACTGGCGCGGTCCTGGAGTTCATCCCGCCAGCCGCGCCGAAGCCCCGAGCGCGGAAAGGCTTTGGGCGCGCCCGCGGGTTGAGCGAGGCTTCATCGCGCAGGGGGGCGTTTGCTCTTATGACTGCGCTGCCGCGCGTCGACGCCCAGCAGGGGGCGCCCAACTTCGGACTCTAGCTCGAGAAGGCCTTCCCCCTTCGCAAGGGCGAGGGCTGAGCGGTAAATACTGAAGATGCCCCATCGGAAGTCGCGCCCATCGCAGAGGAGGTTGAGGGCCGAGAGGATACCAGGAATACGTCGTCTATCACAGGCCAGCCGAGGTCACGCAACACGGAGAAGGTCTTGGGCGCGTGCAGGGATCTCCGTAGCATGACCGTCGACAAGTTCGACAATGCCGAGATGTGGGCCGCCCTCCGCGGGCTCGGCATTTGCCATCGCGGGCCGACTTGCTCACGAATGCGTCGAATAAGCGTTCGCGCATGCAGTCTGGAAGCGGGGGCCCAGAGGAGGAGGGCGCGACCAACATGGCGCATGATTTCCTGGGCGAGCCGGAGCGTCTGAAGTTCATCCCTGCACTCTTCGGGGATGCCCGCAACGACCCAGCGGCGTCTATAGGTAGGGCGCTCAACGCGGCTCAGAAGCACATGGTCCAGAAGTTGAGCCCGAAGTTGATGTCGAATGCGTTCGTTGCCGCGGGCGTCGCGGCAATTTCCAAGATGGAGTTTCCTGGGCCCGGAGAGCTCGGCATCGATTCGCATGCTATCTCGGCGGCCAGATCTATCTTGAGGTTCGCAATGTTCTCGGACGACGACTCCATGAACTGCGGCCTCCTTCCCGAGGCGCGCCGCGACAAGGTCCGGCACCGCGTCGCCCTGGGGCCCGCCGAAAATACTTCCACCGCATCCAATGGGCATTCCCAGAAAACGCAGGGCGTCCTCGTCGATTCGGGCGCCCCCGACGCCACCGAGCGCTACTTCTCGGGCCCCGTGGTGCCGGTTGGTTGGTCTGCCCGAGCTTGCGTGGACCTGAACCTCGCCGCGTCCTTTTCCGGGCTTCTTGATGCGCGGCGTCGACAGAGGCCCCTAGAGCGCCGCTATCGCCAAGGTTGTGCTGGGCATGAAGTCCGACGTCAGCTCGAGGCTCCGAAACTTCTCCAGCATGAAGCGTGAGCCCGCACATCTCGGAGTTACCTGTTGGGGCGCGGTGGGGGACATCGTTGCCCTGGGGAACGCCCTGCAGTCAGTTGCGAGTCGTTTCAAGGCCGTCTGGGCCGAACTCAAAGACAGCGAAATGCCAGGGGATAATCGCGACGACACCCTGCTACTGGTCGGACACCTGATCAACGCAGGCACCTCTGCCAATATTCTGGAGGCAGCGCAGTTGCTGACCATCATGGGCAGCGACACAGCACCGCAGGACATAGACACTACCATCGCCAGATCTGGGTTCGACTAGCTGATCTCCGACGTCGCCGAAGTGATCGAGGCGGCCACTGGCGACGCCTTCGCCCCGCGGGTCATCGAGGCGTTGCTGGGCTGCCCTCCGCCAGGCGGCTGCGGTCAGGACGCGGGCTCCGAAGCGGCCGCGAGTATTTTATTGCGCGCGTGGTTGCTGTTGTTCTTGCACGACAACTTGGAGGGGGCGCTTGACAGGGATAGGCCATAGAGTAAACTGATTCTCGATTTCCGTGCCGGACTCAATCTCCTGCGCGACGTCGGCGACGCAGCGATGAAGGAATGCAGCGTTGACTACCTCGGCGTCTGGTTTCTGGGTTCGTCAGGATCGCATCGACATCGTCAACGCGCCCCCAGGCGCCCGCAGGTCTGGGGCCACGGCGGCCCCGGCAACGCCGCGGTCGGCCTCGATCGAGAAAGCGGCGACGGAGGCCTGCAAGAGTGCGCTGAACGTCCGTGAGAGCTTCGATCACGGCGTCACCCAGTTGGCCGCCCAGTTGAAGATTCTCTCCCCGCCGAAGTGCGGCGAGATCTTGAACGCAGCCGAGACGCGCGACAACGTCGTGGCAGTTCTGGCCCGTTTGCCAAAGAAAGAGCCCGCGGGCCTCGCGGGGATCATTGGAGCAGCCGCCGATTGCCACCAGCTTCCCCAGACCAGCGCCCACAGCAACGAGTTGGACATGATGGAGGTGAGCCTGAAGATGAACAAAGCACGCGAGGACGCAATCACTGCGCGGATCGCGACGTCGGACGCAGTTTGGGGCCTCGTCGACGCCCGCGGCTTCTTCGAGGTCGCGGCCCCGCGGCGGCAAACGGCGACTGGGCCGCGCGCCCGTGGTTTGAGAAGGTCAAGAACAAGGAGGTCGAAGAGAGGATGGCGCAATGCGGCCGCATGGGCCAGACGGCTAAGTCGACGTACCTCGTCGCCTCGGCTGCCTACCAGTTGATGTTGAAGTTCGATGCGGGCCCGCAGCGGGCGGCGACCGCCCAGGTCATGATCGACGAGTGCAAGGGGGCTGCGGGCTTGGAGGGCGACGTTCGGATTATCTTCGCGGCGGCTGCTATTGGCCACGTGTTTGCGCAGCGGCCCAGGCCGAAAACGCGCCGCACCGACCTGCAGAAGACAGGGGCGTACTTCATCGCACAGGGCGGACATCCTCACAGAGGCGGAGATGGTGAATGATGTCGGCGCCATCAGGTGACACCGCGGCTCTTGGTTGTACGGCGTCGAAGTTGGCTGGGAACTCGAATATATCGGCTTCGAACGTGAAGCGACCGATGATGGCGAAGTCCAGCGGATTCTAAGCCTTGAAGTTCCAGAAGAAAGACTAGGGCGATGGTCCGGGTATTATTCGTGGCCGGTGAGGTGCGCGTTGGGCGACGGGCAGAATGCAGGAAACGTCTTGCCTGAGGAGCTGCTGAGGAGCATCGTGCGATAGTTGCGAGATCCAGTGCGAGGACATGGACCCCTTGTCGGTGGATTTGCCGCGGCGGCGGCTGCGCTGCTGGAAGAGAGCGGCCCGCGCCCCCATCCACCGCCACTGCCGTCGCCACGTCGTCGCGAGGAGGGGGGAAAGGAAGAACTCACGAGAAGGGGGTGGCAAGAGCAGGAGGACGGGGAGGAGGGGGAGGTGGAGGAGGAGGAGGGGCCGCAGGAGGGGGGCGGCAGGGGGCGAGGGGGCGGGGGCGGAGGACAATGAGGAGGGGGAGAGGGGAGGGAGACAAGTCAGGTGCGCTCGCGTCAACATCTGACATCCTACCTCTCCCTCCCATCCCTTACCATGGCGCTGATTTTCTTTATCCGCGGACGCGTGTCGTAGCGGACCTGTGGCTCCGCGCGCGTGTGCGTAGTGGGTGGTGGTGCGCGTGCGTGCGTGCGTGTGTGCGTGGTTGTGGTTGTTGTGGTGGTGGTGTGTGTATGTGTGTGTGTGTGTGTGTGTGCGTGTGTGTGCGCGTGTGTGCTGTGGTGTGACGTGGTGTGGCGTCTTGGTGGTTTGGTGGTGGGCCAGGTGCGTACGTGCGTGATGGCGGTGGTGGTGGTGGCGTGGGGGGTGGTGTGTGTGTCGTGTCTGTGTGTGTGCGTGTGTGTGTGTGTTGTGTGTGTTCTGTGTGTGCGTGTGCGTTTTTTTTTGTTGTGTGTGTGAGTGTGTGGTGTGCGTGCGTGCGTGCCGTGCGTGCGTGCGTGCGTCGTTGCGTGCGCGTGCGGCGTGCTCGTGCCGTGCGTGGCGTGCGTGCGTGCGTGGTGTGTGTTGTGTGTGCGCGGCGTGTGAATGTGGTGTGACGGACGTGGTGTAAGGAGGTAGGTGTGGTGGGTGGGGTATGCGGTGGGTGGGGTTGGGTGGTGGCGGTGCGCGGTGGTGGTGCGCGTGCGTGCGTGCGTGCGTTGGTGGGTGGAAGTGGCGGTGGGTGTGCGTGCGGCGGGGCGGGGCGTGGCGCGGCGCGGTGGTGGCGGGCGGATGGGCGCGCGAGAACGAGGCCCGCGCTGGGGCGATAACGCCATCCTGAACGACGGAAGCAAAACACCGATCCGAAAATGAGGCCCACGCTGCAGCGGGAACACGATCCGGAACGATTCAAGAGCAGAAATGAGGCCGGCGCCTCAGCGAGAGCAGCATTTTGAAAAAAAAACAGGCGAAAACCCAACTCTGGGGAATCGTGCGTGTAAAGAACCAGTACGCGGGGGGGGGGGGGGGGGGGGGGGGGGGTGGGTGGGGCGGGAGGGGGGGGGGGGGGGGGGGTGGGAATGACGAATACAAAAAAAACGTCATCAGGGGAAAAGAGAGAGTAGTATTCATTCATATTGGGTAATTGTGTAGGGAGAGAGGGCGCAGGGGAGGAGGAGGAGGGGACGGAACACATGATTGAGGGGGAAGGCGAGAGGGGGGAGGGGGGGGGGGCCCTCCCCTCCTCCTCCTCCAGCCCCTCCCCCCCTCCCTCGTCCTGCCCCCTTCCTCCCCCCTTTCGTCCTTCTCCTCGTTCGTGCTCGTCGCCCCCCTCTCCCTCGTCATTCGCGCTCGTTTTCGTCGCTTTTCATGTCTAGCGTCGTCTGCCAAAACGGCATCCGAACGGCGCGCGGCGTCGACGCTGGGCCCCCAGAGGCCATGGAACACAGCAGCCTTGCTTGGCTGCGGAGATCCCAGTGCGAAGTTTCATGACCCACCGCAGTGTACGCACGAACCGAGAAGGTATCATAAAAAGGAATCGGTCGTTCTTCGCCATCGCAATGGCACTGCAACGTGGGGGGGCGAGTACGGCAACGCAGGAATCTCGTTGAGAATGCGACGACTGAGCCAGGGGCCCTAGTACCTGGCGCAGACGCTGTGGGCTCAAGGGATAGACGGCGCACCCGACCCTGCACCTACCTGGGCCCCCCAGAGGTCACTTAGAACGCCTTATCCAACGTAAATATTACCAGCCGCGCTCCATTGACTTGGCGCAGTGCACCGTGGTGCTCTGCGCGCCATTTTCGTTGCGCTTCAGCCTCGATTGGCCAATTCACGCGCACCCAATTTGTTTTGTGGTGGTTTTTAGTCCCCGGCTTAGGCCACACTGGCATCCTATCCAGTCACAGCGGTTGTCCACGTTTCGCATTCAATTTATTAGCAGCTTGCAGACCTTGGCAATCGGTTGCCCTGGCAGTCAGTTCCTGCAGCTCGTTGCACGTTTACTGCGCCTGGCAGTGTTGCAGCCCCGCCTCCTCCTCGGCGACTCCCAGTCCCGTTCTGAGTGACGGTGTTTGGCCTGCTTCCGCTTGGTCAATTAGCCCGTCGCGCGGCCCGCCCGGACTTTGACTCGCCGCTGTTGCGGTTTCGCTTGCGGCTGCCGACAACAACCGTACCCCCGCCAGTATTCTCTCGGTCTTCCCCCACCGTACGGATTGTCTACCCGACGGTCCCCAAGCGGGATCCAGCACGCTCGCAGCTGGACGGTTCCATGGGGCGCTCCGGGGCCTTAGGTCGATTGGATCTGTCCCTTCCAGGTGTGCGAACGCCCGCTCGCATCCCCCGCTTCGCGGAACGCGGATTCGACATCAGGCTTCGACAGTGTCTGGCGATCCGGACTTTGGTCCGTTGAGCGCCTGCACGTGAGTTGGTTGACGCCTGGCGGCGCGTGGGATACGCCCGCTATCGGTGTGACGAGGCGACCGTTGGTCCTGGCGCCTGCTCCCCGCGGTGCGTGTACGAGCCGGTATTCACTGTCTGCTGGCACGCTCGCGGTGTCGCCCAACCAGAATTCCCCGCCACTTTGGTGTTGCATTCTTGCTGGCGGCTTCCCCCCGGTTGACGGCGCCTTCTTCTGACCGGCAGCGGGGTTCGCTTCCTGTTTGTTCCTCCCTCCGCTGTCCTCTCGTTGCCTCCATCTCCCCCTCCCGTTGCGCAATTCAGTTTGCGGCCCGTTTGTTGCGATTTTTGGACGGCGTCCGGCGTTCCCCGGCGCGCTTGCGATCAAAAAAGTATCACCATCAGTCCGGTGTTGTTTTGTGACGATTCCCGCGACGTTCGAGCTGCGCTGAACCCAGTTCCGCTCTGAGCCGGACGCCGCGCGTTTTTGCTGTTTTTGGTTTTCTTCGTCGCGGCCCGCCCTAGTTTGCACGGCGTTCGACTCGTTTTCGTGCGCCCGCGTACCAAAAGTACCCCCGCCAGCCCATCCACACACGATCGTTTGGTGAGTTGCCGTGATGAGGGCAGCGTAGAAGCATACAGTGCGGCAGCCGCTTTGGATGCCGTTCGGGGGTGTGGGGAGGGCGGGCGCACCTGTTGTATCAGTCGTCGAAAAGTACGTTCAGCAGGTCGGCCTGGCGCCGTGTTGGATTTATGGAGGTCGTGGTGGAGTCCTGTTCGACTGATCTTGACTTGCCACGGTTATGTCATCGGGGAGAGGTTTTTGCACCATCATGTTGCAAATGTTTTTGTTTCCCGAAATGCTTATACATACATCATATCATTTTGCCCCGATCTTCGACCGAGACAGGAGGACACAGGGGGAGGAAGAGGAGGAGGAGGAGGAGGAGGAGGAGGAGGAGGAAGGGGAGGAAAAGGAGGAGGAGAATGAGGGGGAGGGGGTAGAGGAGGTTGCATGCGGCCCTGGACGCGCCACCCGCTGCCAATGATTTCCCGAACGGTTTCATACAAAAACGCATAAAACAAGATTGCCCCGAATGAGGAAAGGTGAATTGGAATAGTAGGAGAGGGAGGAGGAGGCGGAGGAGGAGGATAGGTCGTGGTGATCCTTGCGACCTCTTCGAGCGGCTTAGGTGCCTCAACAAGGGCCTCTTGGCGCTTCTTTGGCCTCTCGTGGGGGTTGAGGGCCTCCCTTGTGATGCTGGGCGCCTCCCTAGGGGTGCTGGGCGCCCCTTTGGGCTCTCTTGGGGCCATGTTGGGGGAGATCAATCAAGGCAAGGTAGATATTGAGGCTTCCCCCCCCCCTCGGAGGCTCCAGGATGGCCTCCTGGGGGTGCCTTTGTGCCGCTCTTGGGCGTTGTTTGGGCCGCCGTGGGGCCATGTTGGGACTGTCTTGAGCCATCTTTGGGCCACGTTGAGGCCCACAAGGCCCATCGGACGTGAACAAGAGAGAAGCCACACACCATGTCCGAAGGTGCTTAACGGATGTTGGCCTCTTGGGACGTGCTTTGGGAGGCTGAAGTGGCACCAGGATCTGTCTTGAAGCTGTCATGGGCCGTTTTGGAGGCATGTCGGGGGCTATCTTGAGCGATTTTGAGGTAAGTTGAGCCATCTTGGAGGTTGTCTTGGGCTGCCGAGGGCCCTCGTGGAGCCATCTTGGGCGCTCTGACGGCTCGGGCGGGGGGTTCTCCCAGGCCGGGGGGGGGGGGAGGGGTAGGGGGACGGATCAAGACACCCCCTAGATAGCAAGCCGTTTAGCTCACTCCCACCCGCCCTCCCAACACGTAAGGAACACCCGAGCCTCTGCATGCTCCGCGGTCGTCTTTTGATGGACAGCTACTGGGAACCAACACCGACCCCATGTGCGCGACGCTGGGGCGAGGTGCGCCACGCGTGCCAGGCGCGCCACACGCGACAGGCACCCCTGGGGCCCGAGCGTGCCAGGCACGCCTAGTGCGCCAGATGCTCCCTCCAGCCGCGCCAGGTGCGCCACGTCCGGGGCACGTGCAGACTGTGTCAGGTCCGCCTGCGCACGTGACAGCACA